GTGTGTATTTTATTCTCCTTGACGCTCTCTAAAGCATGCTTATATACGCGTTTAAGCAATTTTTAAATCTCTGCAGTAAAAACAAGCAACGCCTTATACATACACGCGAACCCACTTAAAGCACCTGATATGCAGCTACGTAAAAACTTAAGCAAGTAATTTGATAGTATTTATATAATTATAGAACTTATTGCAAATCCATATAATGAGGCATGGTATATCAGGGCCTTGGCTTGAGTACTTGCTTACTCGAATAATATTTGCTTCGTATTTATTTCTTGTTGCCTTTGTAATTGGATACAAATTAGGCGCTTCCCGTTTACGCATATCCGAGCTTATTAATTTATTATAATCTTGGGAAAGTTTCGCATCGCTTTTGATGTTTTCTGAAGCAGACGCGCTTTTACCTTTGAGTAATTTGAGTGAATTTCAAGTGTTTTTTTTCTGTGCTACCAAAGTAAACAGTTGGTTTGTTGACTTTCAACCAGCTGGCGAATGCAAATGTTCTAAGCAAATGTCAACCCATTTGTGACCGCGCCCACTTTGCAATGCAAACAATTACTGCCCAGAAAAACCAACAACAAGAGCGAGCAAGAAAAAATGCTAATTGCCTAATTTATTCGGCGTTGGCACAGCCAATGTGCGGGCATTTCGCTCTAAGTTTTTGTGTCACATTGGCTGTAATTTAAAATATTTATTTATGTATTTCTCCACCCTCAACTCTCCTCCACACCGCGTCGCTGGTCAGTCACTTGCTTGGATTGCTTTGCAGCTGCTGCTGCTGCTGTTGCTGTGGCTGATGGCCATTTTTGCTTTTGCTGGGCGCTTTTGCGCTTCGCCAATCAAAAGCATTTAGAGAGCCGGCTTTAATGCATGCGCGCGCTTTCATTAACAAGCAGCCACGCCCACTGCCAAAGCGTCCGCTCTTCTAAGCCGCATTTACACACAACACTCACACACACACACACAGACACCTAGTGGGGGCAAAAAAAATCGCGTCAGCGGCTTATGCAAATGTGTGGAAAAAAGCGAATGTTGTGCTGAGTGAATACGAAATTATTGTTTACAACTGTAAACTTTTCAATACCCTACAACAAGACAGAGACCATGCGACCAGGTCAAGCATACGAATCGATGCAATCTACTAGATATTTTAACTTTCGAGGATTTATCATAAACAGTTATTTTTAATATCACTTTAGCAAGAGTATAAGCAGACCAATTGATGGTACTCATCAGACATCTCGCTTTTATATAGAGCTCTTTTCGAGAACTTAACATCAATATGAATGAAATACTATAGAATTTATTTGTAATGCATGTTTCAAAGCTGTCCCCTAAACTTGGTATTAATATTAATATATACAATATGGCTATCATTACAAGAACAACATTCAAACAAGAGCATCAAAATTTCTTCGAGGTCAACTACTTTAATTGGTTAGATAAAAAGAGTATGCAACGCTTCGGCTTGGCGCAATATATGCTTTGTGCAGTTTTTTTCTGAGAGGGCTTCTGTTTAGAAAACGCTTGCAAACCGCACTAAAAGCGACTTATAACATGTTGAGTGCCAGAGGATTAACGGCAAGCCGAATGCATGTTGGGTGGGCCAAATAGAAACTGTCCATGCTGCCCAGCGCCGAGCAGATCTGGTTGCCGGACTGTAAATTCCTTTTTAATGAGTGGTGGTTGCCCAATGTGCGTCAGTGGGACTCGGGGGACGGGGGCGTGGCGTCCATAAGCTGCTTAAGGTTTGGCGTAATCAAAAATTTTTTAAAAGCTTTTTGTGGTACATCCACATGAAAGCCAAGCCTGTTCGTCGAAACCAGAGCAGAGCACTGATGAGATGTGGGACGTTCGGTGCGGCGGGGCGGGTAGAGCCCGAAAAAAACTTTGTTAAGCTTGAAATTAACTTGCGGCTTGTCTGCCGCCGCTGCTGTTGCCGCTGCTGTTGCTGCTGCTGTGCCAACTTTGACGCCTGCAGGTAGGCAATCAATTTTTTTGTTCTCATGTTGTTGTTGTTGTTGCACTTGGCAATTTGGCTCTGTATAATTAATATATGCAGGAGCTAAAGTGTAGCATACTTTTGGGCAAGCTACTAAAAATTTTATACAACAGCTGCCGCGTCGTTTTGCGCTAATTACCTGGCTACCAGGACCAGAGTCGTAATGCCAAATTGCAATTACAACTGCCAACTTGGCAGCCGCACACCCCGCCATGCCTAACTGACATTAAAATGCTTAATGTGCAGGCAGGTAAGAAATAAGTAGAAAAAAACAACAAAATTACGCGCTTTTAAAATTACAAAAATAAAAAACAGAAATTGCTGCGCTCATTTTCTTCCTCTCCAACCTCTCTGTGCACACTTTCAGTTTTTTTTTTTTGCCTTCACGCTAGCTAGCAATTTGCCAGAGTCGTCTTTTGGGGGCGTTCTTGTTGCTCCTGATGCTGCTCATCTTAAAAATTGCCCAGGTGAAAAATTGCAGCTGTCGTTGTTAAGCTGTACGGCCCGTGGGCTTGGGTGTGGGCGCAGCAGTTCATGTAATGCTCCCGGCCAGACTGGCACTGGGAATAATTCAGAGTGAAGTGCAGTTGATTGTAGGCCTGCAGCAGTGCAGCAGGTTAGCGACCAGTCGGGTCAGTCCCTCGTCTAGCGCAAGAATTGTTGCGAGTCGTTAATTAGAAAGAAGCCAAAAGGCAAGCAGAGCATGTCAGAGCATAAAAAATAGCCATGAAGAGCATATGGTTGCCTCAGCAAAAGAAAAGTCGGATATCAGCATAAAATTACTGTTGTATTAGATCGGTTATAACGGACTCACACACACACACACAACACCTCGGGACACGCTTTGATTTTCTGCAATCAGCTGTAAAATTTGACGAATTGAAATTGACTTAAGCCGGGGTCCAACTGTTTGCTTGATTTGGATTGCATTTGGATTTATATTTGGGTCTGAGCATTGCCGTTTCTGCTTGGCTTTATTTATATTGGATTGTAGTTGCGCCCCACTTGCGGCTATGTTTTTGAAGTTTTTACCCGTATATTTGTGAAGCACTGATGCCTGATGAACGCTGCGGCAGGGGCATCGCTCATCGTATTGCCTGAAGTCTCCATTTTTGGGGTTGCGTTTGTTTGCCTGTTTTACCGGAAAGTTGTGTTATTGTAAAAAATGTGTTTGTCCTGCGGCATGGTTGCATTGATTTTGCTATTCCTCCCAAGCCAAGCGAAGCTATGCTTTGGCGTCAGCCAGCTGTAATTACGCGACGGCGCTGAGCTGGCGCCATCATCATCATCAGGATCTTCATTATCATCAAGAAGTTCCGCCTAAGCAAACACATGATTTGGCTAGGGGGCGCAGGCAGCGCAAGCCGGGTCGTTTGTTTAAAAACGCATCTAAATTGCAAATTAAGCAACAAATTTCATCAACAATATTTGAATTTGAATTTAAATGCGACAACGAGTTGGGCAACACGACTGAGAAGCGCGTAGAGAGGCGGCAGCGAAAGCAAAGCCCGCAAATAGATACACACACACACACACATATACACAATCACATAAACCGAAAATGGAAAATTCGCCTTCGCCTTCGCCTTTCGTAAAGCCAGGCAGCAATCTGAGTGGTAAATAAAGCAGCAGGCAGGACTTGGAGGATGAGCCCAAAGAGGAGAAAGCGGCCAGGATACTCGTACAGAGTACTTGCTCTGCACTCTCACACAGAAAGAGAGCGCAGAGGGAAAGAGAGTTGACTTGGAAACGAACTGTTCGCTGCACTGATGTAAACACCAAAAATACAACAATGGCAACCATTTCAGTTTGCTTTAATCCCTCCCCGCCCGTTGGCGCACGCTCGTTGACTGGTTTTGTATATTTGCCTGTGTTGTTTGTCAAAAGAAGCAATTTACGTGCAAAATAACTCAAGTGTCATGCAAATTTCATTTATTTTCGCACAAGAAAAAATAATTCCCGCACCGCGATGAGGCCAGAGCAAGCAACGTTGTCATAGAGCACATAGTACACATACACACGCCTCTACAGACATGCATACATACATATATAAGTGTGTGTGTGTGTAGATTTAAATGTATATGTAGTTATATGGCATTTTCTTACAAAATGTCTGTATAATGAAGTCACTCGTCGGAACAAAATCGTTGCACAAAGGCAAGAAACAACTTTTAGGCGGCTTCTCGGTTGTCAAACAATTTGATGCTGCGATTTGTGTTTTTTTTCTTGGGTTTTCTTTTTTTTAGAAAATTGGAGCCGAGTGTGCTCTTGATTTTCCATTGAAGTGGTTCACAGGAGAATATAATAATAATAATTTCTGCTCGCTATTTAATTTAATTCGAATTTATTTAAAGGAGGCGGGCAACGCAAAGTTGGGGTCTTGTCACTTGAAGCTTAAATCAAGTTTGTTAAGTACTTTTGCGCAACAACAACAACAAACAATAAACAACAAAGTACAAAGAGCTGTACAACCGCTGTACAGCAAACAGGCAGAGCCTTAAGTACTTCAGGTTGGAAATTTCATTAGTTTGACATTGTAAGCACACACACACAGGCACACAAGTGCATGTCCATGACAAATGAGAATAAAATTGTGTGAAACGTGAATAAAAATAAAGGAAATATAAGCTCGACAAATATTTAGGTCTTCATGTTTTTAACTTGCCAACTTGGCCAACCAACACAAATCGGCGTGGGAAATGACAGCAAGGCGACAACTTCAACATCAACGTCAACTTTAATTTCAAACTCGAACTCAAACCTAAACTCAAATTCCAATTCAAATTCAAATGTTGTTTCGCGGCAGACACGTCAGTTTAATTGAAATTATGTGGGCATTATATATATATACTTCATTTGTCAGTTGAAGTTGAAAAATAAAATGTAAAAAGAGAACTTGCTGATAATTTTCCTTGACATTTAAGCATTAAGCAGATTATATATTCAACATATATTTTCAGTATGTACTTATATCAAATGTTCTTGCGGCACTTACCGGCATAGTTTGGCTTCCGTGTAAATTGGTTATTGCTGATTGAGCCTCCTGTTGGGAACCGAATTTAACGAAAGCGCAGCCTGAAAGTAAACCAAGTAAAATATTTTAGTATACACTCAAATATAAATATTTCAAAAAACAATTCAATTTGCGGATTTTAAAACTGATTTATTTTCAGTTCGCATATTCAGCGAAGCAGCTTGAACCTACATTTTCTGTTTAAGAGAGCTGTTTAATGACAAGACTCATGTGAAACTGTTGCAGAATGCTGCCACACATGTGCGCAGCATTTAAATAAAATTTTAAGTGCAATTAAAAAACATTTTCGCCAACGCACAAGAATCGCTCGGTGCGCTCTACCATGGAAAACCAACATGAAGCGCCATCATCCGAGCATTGGCATCCGAGCATCATTCCAGCAGCAACAGCAGCGCTTCACTTGGCCCATTATATAACAATAATAGTCGGCCGGACGGTGAATGAAAAATTCAAACCAAAAAATACATTGCACTTGGCGCTCATTATTTTGTAATTTGTGCGCCAGCTGCTTGGGGGCGCTGCCAATGGGGCGTGGCCAGGCAGCATGTTGGCGCAGCCATTGGGGCATCATGAGCATAATTATTAAAAAAAAATCATTTATGCTAATTTAATATACAGGCAATAACCACAAAAATGTACAACAACAAAAATGGCCAATTTTTTTTCTTGTTTCAAATAAGAAACGTTGCTTTAAATGAGGTTTTTGTTTAAAATGCGATGGTGGGAGGCGATTCGCAAAATGAATGATATATAACATGAGATTTAAATGAAATACGAGAAAAAATATATCTATGTTAGATGACAGCTTCTAGACGAAAACGTTAAATATTTAATACAAAAACTAGTTGCAAACGGCAGAAAATACTAGGCAAATAATAATAATAAATAATTAATGGTATATTTTATACATTTATTAAATAAAATATATAAAAAACGTAACCGTTTTAGTAATGGGAATAACTCCGCAAAATATTTGAAAATCATTATTTTAATTTAAATATTGACATTCACATATTTTGCTTTATACAACATTGATATTTAAGTAATACAATAATTAATAAGTTGACATTTTACAGCAAAAAAATCAAATTTCATACAAAATAATAAGACTTGGCCATTTGGAAGGGATTTTTATTCCCATTTGGAGAAAGTTTACACTTCGAGGGCGCCCAAGCCCTAAGAAATTAATCTAGGCCTTCGGAGTTGATCTCGGCGTATAGGTTAACCTTCACTCGGGCATTGTGGGCAATAAGGGCAACAACAATGTTGAAAATTAAGACCCTCAAGTGGAGGAAAGCAAACAAAAACAGAAATATACCATCCCCCCTCTATGCGGCAGCTGTTCTGCCTAAATTGCGACTGTGGCTGTTGCTGCCTTTGTAGTTGCCGCTGCTTTAGTAAAAGGTGTGGGGCATGTGGCATGCGGCATGCAGTGCGAGCGCGCAACAAATCCCGCCTAAAACCATGCAACATGCGAGCTGACAAGCCGTAAGGCAGACAAGCGCAAATTTCGCGTGCAAACAGGAACAAGATATTTTTTATTTATTTTTTTTCGCGTTGCAAATGTACAAAAAATACAGTGTAAAAAATTCAAGTGGATTTTTGTTTTGCTGCCACTCTTGTTTTTTCTTTTATTTTTTTTTTGGGTTTTTCATGTTTTGTGTGTGTGTGTGTGTGTGTGCGTTGAAGTGACAAATCCTGAGCCACACAGACAACAGTTGGACAGTCCCACAGGCTGGGCCAGGCATTTGGCAACAGGCGAGGGGGCAAATCAGCGTTGCTAAACAATAAAAAATAAAATATTTTGTTGCCTGTTAATCCACAACATTGCGACGCAGAGAAAAAGAGATCAACAGAGGGGAAAAAATACACGAAAAAATTCTAAATGCCAGGCCGAGCACAAAAAAAAAAAAACAACAACAAAAGCTAAAAAAGCAAAGCAATTGCTAAGCATTTTTGTAAACTTAAATCAAAGTTGATTTTGTGTGCTTTTTTTACCCATTTTTTTTGCTTTGTTTGTAATTTTTGTTGTGTTTTCTTTTTGTTCCATTTTTTGGTCGCTTTTGTTTATGTGAAATTCATTTTTCTTGGCATAACTTGCAAAAAGAAAAATATTTTCCTACGGTCCTGTATACTTTGTAAGTTATGCAATCCTAAAACACCTTCGTTAATTGTGTGCTCTCATATAAAAAAGATAAACTTGAAGGTTTTCAGCTGGCGGTATGCTAGGGTATTCTATTAAAATATATATCTCATCTAAGCTGTGCTTATATCCCGCATCTGTTAAGCCTAACTAACATTACTAATTTGTATTTCATAAAAGGCGTTAAAGGCTATACTTTGTCGACTCGAAGAGATTTTAACTAATTAGCCTCAACTAAAGTACTTCAACATTCATTAAACATAGAAGTTGTTGGCAGTACAACGACTTATACTTATTTAGCTAGACTTTTTCGTAGACTCTTTGATTATTTACCTTTGCAGGACGTCATTTGTCTACGCTGACGCACTAACTCGCATTAAGGCTAATTTGTCGAACTTCAAGTCATTATAATAATTAAAAGTAAATTAGTCAGGCAAAGAGGTAAGGCAGTCAGAGAAAGTCCGAGCTAAAAGTCAACTTTTGCTTTGATGTAAAGACATTGAATTGCATTTACATACAATCAAGTAGAGCGCCGGACACTTGCTACAATTAGGAGTTGAGTCGGGCCGTAGGACCTGCCCTTTAAGCTAACGAAGTGCACGCTTTAATTACTTAAGCGTCGACAAGTTGCAGCTGCAACTGAAACTGAAGCTGCAGAACTGCTGCATTCAGTATTTACCTGCCTGCTATCCCCTGACTTGGCAATTAGTTGAAATTAAAATGTGTGCACTGCCGACAAGTTTTTTAGCGACAGGTTTTTTCCTTAAGCAACTTCCGTTGAAGCATGAAATGAAGCAGCCAACTGTCAGCGCGAGTACTCAGCTCAAAGTCTAATGACACTTTTTAATCAAATATGCTAATGATAATGATAATGCGAAAGCAGCGGGCTCTCATTTAAATGAAACTATCTTGAGTAGTAATGACCAGTTGCAACCTGAGGCTGCATTTACTTGGAAATTAGGAGAAAGCAAGCACACTTTGGATTTATTTAATCCAGAAATATTAGTTTTAATATATAGATAAATATCCACAACCAATCCGACTGCAAAGATAAAAGGACAACTACCAGCTTTCAAACTCTTGAATCACATCCCACACGGACCGAAATGAAGCTGTGCGGTTTCTCCCTTCCTTGGCAACGAAAACACATGCGATTATATTTATGGCACGGATTCACATGGCAGACCCTTAGTGACATTTGCAATACAAATTTCGGAATGCTATTAATGTATGGGCTCTGCCACCGAAAAAATAAACCGGCCATGCTATGAAAAATCGCCGCAGGTCAAACACGTAACCAAATTGTGCAGCAACAGCACCGGCAGCAGCAGGAGCGGCAGCAGCATCAGGAAACAAGGATAACGAGCGTGTTGAGCCCCTGACTGCTGACCATCGTCTGCGGGTCGATACGTTGCTGGGCTGGTCGGTCAGTTCGAGGGTTGGAGAGAGCAGTGCCAAAACGAGAGAGCTGAGGTTGATGCTCGTGTTATGGCTATGGTCATTGCTGGCTTCTGTAGCTGCCGTCCGCCTGCCAGCCTGCCAGCCTGCATGGGACAAGTATTTTAAAATCCAATTAAAAACGCCCAAGTGGGATTTTTCAATCGCTGCCAGCTGCCCCACCGAAGCTGACAACAACAGCAACAGCAGCAGCAGCAGCAGAAGCAGCAACAACAGCGGCGGCAGCAACCGAGCAACAAAGTTGCATTAAGCGCGCTCCGTTCGCAATTCGCAATTTGCCATTCAGTCGCGTCGACGAGTGTGTTTGTCAGTGTGTGTGCATGTGTCTGCATGTGTGTGTGGAACTGGAAGTGGACAGGCGACGTTGGACGGGACCCGTTGATGGCCATTGCATGTTTGCCTCCGGGGCACAAAAGCGTTGCATGAATCTTGTTAGCCAACGTTTACGCTTATTATGCAGCAGCAGCCTTGGCCAGTAGCCAGAAAGCAACGCTATCGAATTTGTTTGATGCATGTGGCACTGTGCTCCAATGATGAGACCTGCCACACACCCAACGCACACACAAACACACACACACACACTCAACCGTATCAACTACATGCGCACACAAACAAGGTAATGCCACACGAGAAGGATGTCAGCAGTTGTTCTTGTTGCTGCTGCTGATGCTGCTACTGCAGCAATTGCAGCTCTGCAAATTGCATTTGCCTCATGACACTCACAGTTGAATGCATTTTGCCATAAATGGGCAACATTTTTCGGACCGCACAACAAAAATCAAATAAACTCGACCAAACATGGTCAACATATGGTATGCGGGTAAAAAGCTAAATAATCAGATTGGCGAAAGCGAATTAGTTACTTTAACTCACGTGGAACTGGTGCTATTGATAAATCGCTTGTAGCAGTAAATTAAACTGATTTTAAAACTGTCTACTTTTATGATATTATGACATTAAATAATACATTTTAGGCATGTTTTTTTATTTTTCCGCAAGTGTTACATTTTAACATTCGCCTACTACCTTAAGCCCTATTTGCACGTTTCAATTTATAAATGAGAATTTCTATACGTACAGTTTTAAAAGGAATTTAAAGCTGTTCGGACGCAAATAAAACTTTCACTCATGCAGTCTTTTGCCTCCACTTTCCAAAATGATTTCCACAAATCATTTCAAGCTCAATATATGACTTCGGCTTGAACTTTTGTCCACAAACTTTGCGGCGCATGTGTCTAATGAAGTCGGCCAACAAACTGCGGAAGCTTATCAATATGGTCAACTACAATTGTAAATAGACTCAACTTGCAAAAGACAAACAAACCAATTTCTGTTCCTTTTTGTCCAGTCTGATCTGAACTGAAATTGAACTCTTTTGGGCTTAACATGAACCTTAACACTCTGCATACAAATCAAAAAGACAGCATATATGAGATTCCT